CAGCTTCAGTGCATGCTTTTATATGGTAGCACCCACCCATGCATAAAAGCATTCATTTCTGTTGTATTTTTCACATTTTTTGAGCCACCCGTTTCATTTGGAGGTTGGCATGTGGTCACAGGATTCCTATTTGGTTTAATTTCAATGTTACCATTGAAATGTGATTTGATTAATTTTAGGTATATTATATAGTATTTTGTTTTGTATCTTAATTGTGCAGTACCATTGAAGTGATATACAATATAGTGCATAGCTTAATACACTAGTCTATCATATTAAGCCATAATACTTTGTTTAGGTGTTTGGTATTATATAAAAATAAGCACCATACTTGTTAATCTGTTACATGAACCCTCTCTCTCTCGGTATTGACATACAATGGTTCTCTAAAGTTTGTGAACTCCTTTGAATGTTTAATATTTATGCATCAATATGATCTAAAATGTGATCTGTTCTCCACACAAGACCTAAACTTAGATAAATAGAACCCAGTTAAACAAATGAGCTAAAAACATTATACCTACTCCTTTATTTGTTGAGGAGAATTATCCAAACCTGCATATTTGTGTCTGTTAAATGTTTGCAAACCTTTGCATTCAGTACAGTAATTGCTGTGCCCTCCATATTTTTCACACAACAGGTCTGAAGAAGAGTCCTTGCACCTTCCAAGGTGACTTGGAAAATATGGCTGAAACCCTAAAAGAAGACCACTGCCAGCCAGTGGAGATAAAACTGAGCACCACGGACAAATTATTCAGTATTAACTCGCCTCTTGTGTTTATAACTTTGACCAAAAGCTCTGCTAAGTGTCACTTGTTTGCGTACTGATCAAAAAGCCTGAAAAATAGTGGCACTTGTATGTTGCTGTGAGTCAATCCATATTGACTCAATTAATTAGCGTGAAGAGAGAGGCAGGTGCTGATCCAGGTGCAGTGCCCTGTCTGATGCTGCTTATTTGCATCGGTTCCCGCTCTATGATGTATTTTAAAGCAAAGAAAATGCCAGATTGGGATTTCCGTAAACTTATGTAGACAGAGTGCCATCTGCTGACAATCAATCATTTTAAGGAAGAAGATCAAATGTATGAACCATTACAAACATTCAGCTCTCCTCCTTGACAATCAAACTGTGCCCCCATTTGCCAAAGGCAGACACCTAGATGCATAACTTGAAGACTTTGTCTGATGTTATTTCTCTTTTCAATTTGGACAGCTTGGATACTTTTTCAAGCAGGGGATGCCTTCAAAAAGATTGTCTTATGTGACTTTACACAAAATAGTTAAAAATAAAATAATATAGAACGCATTTAAAAGAAGTTTCCAAGAATAGAGTCCCAGCACCATGAAAACACAGAAGTTCAACAACTACTCTAATCTGATGCTTGTAGGAAGTACCAGGTTTTAGGGGCTCGTTTAAATAGGGTCAAAGTGAGCTATGCAAATCTTAGAGGCCTTTTTTCAGAGAGTAGGTGTTGCAAAAGAGAAGGTTCATTTCCTTGGCCCCCACAGCTGACACTGTATATTTGCTGGTATCCAAAGCTTGCTGACTCTGCATCATCATTTAGGAAGGACAGAAGCTATGGAAGACATTCAAATAACCAGCCTATGCCATGAAGGGCATTATAGCCAGTAAGTATCACCTTGAATTGCACTGGGAAACCTACTGGCAACCAATACAGCTCACAGAGCAGAGATGATGTGCATGTGCCATAGCATGATCATAACTATTAGTGTCACTGAGTTGTGGAAAAGGCATAGCTTCTGAGTGGTTTTCAAGGGAAACTCCTAATAAAGCACATTGCAATAATTCAAATACATGATGACTGTCCTAAGCCATCTGTTCCAGGTAGTTCCTCTGTGAGAGACATGGGCGGTTTTAAAATGTGATAAATACATCATAAATCACAGATGAATTTGTGTGACAGCCTTCCTGGTCAGAAGCCTGTAGAGATTCTTGGTCATCCAGGTCATGGTTGTCCCAAAGGTGCTTTTTCAGGAGGCAACCACTATCTGATTCCCCACTATCATGTCAGAGCTGAAGAAGCTTCTTGGATGAAAATGGAAACATCTTCAAAGAAAAAAACCAAGAAAGTCCAGTTGCCTCCTGAAAAAGCACCTTTGGGACTTCCTGGTCAGAGTTGCCACCCATTTCCTGAACAGAAACTGTAAGTCTATGAACCAGGGTGGGATTCAAAAATCCCAGCAATTGGTTCGCTGCCCAGTTGCTGGGTGGGTGTGGCCATGGTGGGTGTGGCCTACCAGAACTTCCGGGAGGGCCAATTTTTGCCTTCCCAAGGCTCTGGAGGCTTCCGTAAGGCCTCTGGGAGGGCAAAAATGGTCTCTCCTAGGCTTTGGAGGCCTCCCAGAAGCCAGAAACAGGACTGTTTCTGGACTTCCGGAAAGCCTGATTTCTCCCCCCACCCAGACTCTCCATGTGGACCCTGCACTTACCTGCATCGAAAATGGGCCACGTGGAGACTCCTGGGAGCGGAGGGTCAAGGTGGGCAGGTCCAGCCAGTCAGGTCAAATATCAGCTCAGTGAACCAGATGCAAATTTAACATCCAGTTTGCCGGAACCGGTCCAAACTGGTAGAATCCCACCACGGCTATGAATACCCCAAATTGTACTAATAGGACATATTCTTGCTCTAGCATCACAGGATAAAGCAATCCAATATCTACATGCAAAGTGAAACTACCAGTGAATACAATTTAAAATTACTGTCCCTTTTCACAGTTTCTTTTAAGGCTTGGGGGCGTCTCCCTACTTGCACCCAATCATGTAAATAAAAATATGCCCTAGCAAATTCTTTTTTGTGCCATGGCCCCATTCATTGGTTCTATCTCTCCTAAAGGGACATTTTATCATATTTGATGAATGTGTAAAAAAAACCAGAAAATGTTGGATTCAGTACATGTACTAATTCAGAAGATTTTAAAGACTAGTGTACAATTGAAACCAAAGGCCTGTATTTTGGGATTAATAGATAAGGAGCTAGAAAAAATGTAATGGAACTTTGTTTTTATATATAATAACTGCAACAAGATTATTATATGTTTGAAAGAAGAAAAGTGGCACCAGTCACAATGGAACAATGGTTGGTGAGATTGACAGAAGTTGCAGAGATAACTAAATAGATTTCTTTGATTATAGAGAAGACAATATCTACAATATATTTTTTGTCAACTATAAACTTCGTATGGACTTTTTGCATGAAATGGAAAAAATGAACTTTTGATTTATGGTTTTTATGATTAGAAAATGTTGGATAATAGAAAAAAGGCGGCCTTTTTGTAACCATAGAGCAAAAGATAAATTTGTAATCACTTGTATTTGTTCCTCAGGAAATTGAAGTTTCTTTCTATTTTTTAATATCTTCCTTTTCTTTCTCTGTGTCTTTTTTATTATGTATCAGTTTTTGTTAGTTTTTTTATTTTCTTTTTAAAACTTTTAATAAAAAATATAGAAAAATATTGGCTTTATCTCTTCTCATTCCCTGAATATAACATCCACACATTGCCTTTTGTATTAAAATCATCCTCTTTTTACAGTTGCCCGAGCTTCATAGAGAAGCTGGCATTAAAAATGATTAAAATGGTAAGCCACACGTATCCAAATGAATGGAGAACTAAATAAAAGGGGGGGGGGGAGACTGATATCATGCTTGAACCCAATCAAAAATACTTAACTGGGAAACCTAAGTGTCTGCCAGTGTCCCCAGGCATGTCAAAAGAGTTCCACAAATGTCAGGCTTATTATTATTATGATAGATAGATAGATAGATAGATAGATAGATAGATAGATAGATAGATAGATAGATAGATAGATAGATAGATAGACAGACTGACTATCTATCTATCTATCTATCTATCTATCTATCTATCTATCTATCTATCTATCTATCTATCTATCTATCCATCTTCTAAGGAAATAGGTGTGGTGCTTCAAAATGACACCAGAATTACTGACACTATGATACAATCTCTGTTCATTTTTCTTGTATCCTGTTGCAAAAACTTAAGTTGCAGGGTTTGGTCTTGTTTTGTCACTAGCTCCTCATTGTCTTGCACTACTACCTCAGGGAGAGCTAGCTGTCATTGTATTTCATAGTGGCCCAGGTGACTTTGGGAAGCTGTTTCAGTGATTGTTACAATCAATGTGCTCTGATTTCATATGGGCTGTTTTGCCCGGCTTAGTCTGTACTACTTCTGCCTGCTCATTTATGAGCCTCACTGAACTCATTTGGGTTTCTTGCAGAACTGCGTGGTTCAGACAGCAATTTGTACAAACAGATGGAAAATAGGGGGAGAATTGAAAGTACCTTCATTTCATTGTCAATTGGCTACAGTTTTATGTTTGATTACCTGAAAATAAGCAACAGGAATCTTGTGAAATTTAGCAATCTGGTGCTCTTCTGTGCAGACAGGCGGGACAAGATGAGGACAAATATAATTTATGTTTGTGCTTATTTTGTGGCTTTATTCACAGGAAATTTTCTCCCATTTAAATTTGAATGCATTCCTCAGGATTGGGCAATAAAAGATTCTCTCCCTCTAATATAAACTTAATGAAATAAATATGAATAAACCTTTATTTGGAACTCCCGTTTGGTTGGATCATCCATTTAGGATCTAAAGAGTATCTTCAGAAGTCTGTCTGGTATTGCTATAAGCAAGTAGCATTGTTATGGTTGGTTCATATGATTAGAGAAGGAATATATTGAGAACTGAAATTACAGAATTGCACAATGCAAACCATAAGAAGACAAGAAATAATTCATGCGGTCACCCAAACAGAAAGCACATGTAAAAGGACAAAGAAAGGAGCCCAATTTTTGACTTTTGGAACTCACAGCCAAACCATGGTGCCTTTTGAGTTGAAAGGGGTGGTGCAGAGGGGTGTGTGAAGAAAACCCCACCTTTGTCCAAACTCTGCCAAAGAATTGAGATCAAAAGAGGCCTTCAGCTGTAAACTCAGCTTTAAATATGTGTGTTCATAGTTTGCAGAAGATCCTGCAAACATTGTAAAATTGTTCTAGGAAAAATACTGTTCATTAGTGCTTGAGGGAAAAAAAACATAAAAAGGCCAGCAACATGAATGGAGATCTTTTCCAAGTAAGTTCATTATATTAAGATGATGTTTTATGTAGCTATTTAAATGTTATAAATAAGCAGCGCCTGTGTTTTTTTTTAAATGCATAATGTTGCAGTTACTAGTTATACAACTGACACTAACTTTCAATTCTATGCTTTCAACATCAGGGTAATTATAGGCAGTATAAGTCATTATCTTTCTATTCCTGCATATTAACCTGCTCTTAAATTCATAAATGCTGAAACTGACAAACCTATGTTTATTTATTTATTTTTATTTAGATTGTTCTGAAACAGGGCAAGGGAAAATAAACTTGCAGGCATAGCATTTTTTTTACATAGATTTTCCTATGAATAACTTGTATTATGATAAATATATGTTTACTTGATCTACTGTGGAGAAAGTTAGGTATTTATGAGAATGTTTCCAGCAACAAATAAATAAGGTGTTGGTTTTGAAAAAAGGTATATAAGTGTACATTAAGTTTGACCTACATAGTTTCTATCTATACATTGAGATTTAAAATATATGTTCATGTTAAATAAGTGCAGTTAAACACCATTCTAATATCTCATGCAGCCTTCTTAGATTCTGGAGATGGGTCCTGGTGAATTATATTTTTGATGAATTATATGATAGATAGAAATATGCTGACCACGGACACCAAAAATTATCTACAATTAGAAACCCTTGATCCTTGAATTTGTGAGCAAAGGAATTTGGGACAGGAAAATAATGTCATCCAATTTTTATGGCAATGTTTCTTTCTCCAGTAGAAGCAAGTATCCTCAAATGTATTTGCTTATCACCAATGGTTGAGCATATCTGAAATCTGGTGAATGCCTGCCTCAGTGTAATATGAAAGTTAGACCACTAAGTGATTATATGAAGTTGTTTTCAACTCTTAATGAGCACATAGATTTTTTTTCCCATGACAATTTATCTCTAACTTGGTCTTTCAGGTCTTCCAGAGGTGCAGTGATCATTATTGTAACTGAGGCCATGTATCTTGTTACTGGCTATCTTCTTTCCGTCTTCCCTAACATTTCCCCTTAGGTCTTTGCATACTGTGTCCAAAATAGAATAATTTCAGCCTGTTAATCTGTGTCTCCAGTGAGAACTCTGGATTGAATTTTTTGATGATCCAGTTGTTTTCTTGGCTGTCCACAATATTTTTTAGAGTCTTCTTCAAGAGCAAGTTTGAAGGCTTCAATACTCTTTCTACTGTCCTTTTTCAAATCCAACTTTTGTTTTTATAATGTATCACAGAAAATACTGCAGCTTACATAATTCTGATCTTTGAAGTTATAAGGTAGACTGAGACTTATCTAACAGTTGGGTGTATTTGAAAGCAGAGAAATCTCTGAAGGTGTGTCAGCCTCTTCCTACGTACCTAGACTATGGAAACAAATGGCAGATTTGTCTTTCAATTGCATTGAGCTGTCCCTATTTCGGAGGATTCCTTCAGCTTGGATAATCTCTAAACTGAAATATTTAATATTAATGAACTTTTAGCTGCTGCTGCTTCTTATTTTTCAAACAGTTTAGCAGTTCCATGGCTTTTGTGGATGGGATTCTAGAACTTTGCTTTGGCTTCTTTTTAAAAAGCTGTTTTTCCATATTAACTAAAGAGGAGTTGAACAAATGCCACAGTGAAATCCACTAATGAATTTCTGATTTTCCAAGAATGAAAATAAAGGATGAACACAACATGAAATGTACCCTGCTGGGATAAGCTTAGCAATTCTGGATTTGTCCAAGATTTTCCTCATAAGAGGGTATAACACACACACACACACTGCTCTTCTTAGTCTTTGCATGTGCTTAAATTTCCTCACAATTCCTTAATTAGGAAGATTGCTTGTAGCAATGAAGCAACAAAGAGCTTTATTTTTATGTCCAGATATTTTTCTCACCTTCATCTTAAAATATATTGACCATTCAATTTGTTCTCCAACATGAAGAGTTTAACCAAAATGCTTTGAGTTGATATATTTTTCCCTCCTTTACATAACAAACATTTACTGGAAACAGACATTTTTTGTTTATGAAGAGCCATTGACTGGTTCTAGCTAAACCTTTGTCTGACATTTAATAAATACTCCTCATGAGCTTCACAAGCTTGATCTGGGCCAGTGGATTAATGTCACAAATGATATGCTCTGGGAACAAGTATAAGCTATTTAATAAGAAGTTCTCTTGTCTCAGACTCAATACATACAGCTTAAGACACTGAAGAAATATTAACAAGAAAGAAAGATGGTGTAATACTAATAAAACTGAAAAGGAGGAGGTAGACATCAGATTTGTTTTTTACGCATTTTAAGAAAACAAGCTGTTAATCATTACTGCTATAAAAACTTAATTTGCCAAACTTAAAAACAGAGGAACATCTTACAAATTGAGAAATTCAATCCATTGCTTCACAACAATCTGCTCACATTCCAGCCAATATATAGTTTCCAGCCCAATCTATAGACAGAAACATATTAAAAACAATTGTAGGAATTGGGTGTGTCTAGTCTAGAGAGAGGAAGGACAAGAGGGGGGCATGATTGCAGTATTCCAATATTTGGGGGGCTGCCACAAAGAAGAGGGGTGTCAACTTATTTTCCAAAGCACCAGAAGACAAGAAACAATGGCTGGAAACTAATCAAAGAGAGAAGCAACGTGGAATTAAGGAGAAACTTCTGAACAGTGAAAACAATTAAACAGTGGAACAGCTTGCCTTCAAAAGTTGTGGGTACTTCATCACTTAAGTTTTTAAAGAAAAAAACTGGACATGTATAACCTTTAAAACCCCTTTTCTGTCTGCTTATAAGTGAGCTAAGATGGATGTGAGTTGTAAAACAACTTGGAAAAAAATAGGAATGTAAAACAGCTAGCCAAATTCCATTTTAGAATTTAGAGTTGATGTAATTAGTTTCCAGACACCAAAGCCTTGTAAATAATTTCATATTTATTTATATAGGAATCCAGGTACATTGAAGAGAACACTTCCCAGAAAGATGCAATCTCTCTTATTTTTTCCCTCAAAGAAGAAGTTGGAGCCTTGGCTAAAGTCCTTCGCATATTTGAGGTATGTATTTTACAAAAGCAGTTGTAGGAAGAGTGATCCCACTAAGGCTGCAAAATGACAACCCAGCCATCATGGATGCAGTTCCCAGATATCATCGTCTTTGTGGTTGATCTCAGATGACATCCCAAAGTCGTCACCTCCCAAACCTACCTGTGCTGAAAAATCTGGCTGTTACTCTTTTGTTTAATATTCTGTGATATTGCTTGTTTGGCAAGAGAAAATGGTGAGAAATTGTAAAAAGCAGCCACTCAAAATAAGCTGGATTTTATATTAATGGTTTACCAGAATCTGTTATCTAATTCCCCTCAGCCATTCTTCACCTGCAAAAAATACTTGTATCTTTTTTTGTCTATCGCATTAATTTCTTTTGGAGCATGGTGGTTCAGCAGTTATGACTAGTGGTTCAGACCGGTTCAGCTGAACTGGTAGTAAAAAAAAGAGCCTCCTACGATCAGCTGAGAGGAGAAAGAAGAAAAAAGCACAGGATCAGCTCTCCCACCTGCCCCTGCGCTTTTCTCTTCAATATCCTCTCATCTGATTGGTGCTGCAGACCTCAGCTGGTGTGGGGAAAGCTGCACACCCATTAGGTGCGCACGCATGCGTGATCATTAAACCAGTAGTGGAAAACAGGTAGGATCCCACTGCTGGTTTTGACTCTGCGCTTGTTGGCTGGAAAGCTGGCAGCTCAGGTTCAAGGCCCAAGTGCAATGCAAGGCTCCCATCCTCACCCCAGCTCTTGCCAACCGAGCAGTTTGAACGCATGCAAATTCAAGTATAAAAATAGGTACCACTTTGGTGGCAAGGTAACAGTGCTCAGTGATGCCATGCTGGCTGCATGACCAAATTTCTTTGGACAGCACTTGCTCAATGGCCTTGAAACAGAAATGAGCACCGCTGCCTATTTGGCCATGACCCCTTTACCGTTCTTTTTTTAGTAATTTCTTTAGAATATTTTTTTCAGTGTTTCTTTTAAACATATCTCACTGTTGTAAGATGGAAATGCTGTTGGTTCTTCTTCAGTAATAATCACTCTGTAGCATCACTGCCTGTTTTGCTAATCGGAAAAAGACACCCCGCCCCCCACATTTTCTTCTGTTCTGCAATATAATTCTTCAATATAACCTAAGGAGAGATTGCCTATCTGGAACAGTAGGGTGAGGGAATGAGCTCAAGGCTACAGGAGAATCAATTATGTATTTGTGTTTATCACCACAACATCTGACATGGTTACAAGATGGATTCATTAAAACTTTTATCCTGGAGAAAAGTCTATATGGTTAAGAGTTGACACCGACTTGATGACATATCAGCATCTTCATCTTCATCATGTAATTAATCTGATTTTACATGGTGCAAGCAAACATCCTGATGATGTTTTTGTTTAAACATGTTAACATACATTTTTAACATTCCTTCCTATTGTACTTAATAGAACTTTATGTCCTTCTGCAGCCAGAAAGTCTTGTTAAATGGCTCATACATGAAATGCAAACAAGATATTTTAAAGACTACATGCACTAACATTCTCTTTACTATAGAATGCCACACATTGTACTTAATTCATATAATCCACCTTGAGATGGTTTGTTTAAAGAAATCTGTCCTCAATTTCAGATTTAATATATAATTAATATAATTGCATCAATCATATTTGGAGTTGTTTCCAGTTGCTCATCTTTCCATCATTCTGAAAACTGCCCGGTTATCCATATTTCCCAGTCTGGAATATTAAAAAACAATTAGAAACAATCTCACAACCCTAACAAAAGGAATTTCCCTGTGATATCCTCCTTTGGGATTTAAGTCTGAGAAGCTAGAAATGATTGTACAATGAAATGAATGAAAGGTGGAATATTCATATACACTTTTTAAATCCTTTGTAAGTATTCTCAACTTCAGTCTTGAAAATTTCTTTAAATTGGGTGTGAAGAATCAAAAGCAGCTGTTTCTAATCAAACTGAATGAGAATGGTGGTGATGGGAAGAGAAAAAGAAATTATGACAGCAACCCTCGTTGTTGTCAATGTCAAATATAGTTCCACATGTTTACATAACAAAATGGCTCTGTTCAAGCCTTGAGATGTCATTTGGATCATGGGCAGGCAAATGTTTGGAGCTGGATGCTACATTTAAAAAAGAAAGCCAACAACCTACTTCTGAATTACACAGAGGGCACTGAGGTAATACAATGATGTCACCAGAGAGTTTCTGTCAAAATTTTCATCCTTTTGATGAAGCCCATCCTTTGAGGTTTAATTTAAAATCAAAAAGATGTATTAATCCTAGTAGTGTCAGTTAGCTATGTTGCTTAGCATTTTAGCAAATAAATAAAAAGAAAGCAAAATCGTGTTGTACAATGTGAGTTTCTGTGATCAGATCTAGAGAGATTCTTGGGGTTCAAACAAACAAAACCTGCATGTAAATCAGGTTCCTTACTGATTACTGATTTTAAAAAATCACTTATTGATAGCAACAAAAAACATTACAAATATTCTGTAGCAGGTTAAAGACTAATATATTTTGTCAATGTTCTACTTGGCTTATGGAATAGTATCCTTAGAAACAGTATATGTTCTTGGGTTTTTTTGTTTTTTTTCTCTCCTCAGGATGTTAATCAGATGGATTCTCTTGACATTAACTTGAAAGGAGTTTGAAATGCTGTTCTTCAATCTGATGGAGAGCTTGGCTGCACTTCTTAGTCATGTATAAGAGTGGAGAAACAATATTCCTTTAACCTCTTTCTCCTGAGGTGGCTCAGCCTCCACAGACACGTTGGCCTTCCCCTGCAGAGCTCTTGCGAAGCTGTGATGAGTGTGCAGCTCTGTTCTTCATTCATCTCATAGAATCAGCTTGACACATGAAAATTCAGAGTTAGAGTACCTCATAGATGACAAGCTAGTCTTGTCTGAAGATGTCTAGTGGTGGAGACAGGCATTGTTTGGACTCAGCAGCAAAGCAGCTTGTTAGCATCTATATGTGAGGTCTTCAAGGAATTCTAGGGTTATAGGCTAAACTGGGATTTAAAAAAAATAAATAAAAAACCTTCCTGGAAGAAGGAAATGGCAAATTATTTCCCAATTGTTGCCAAGGTAACTAAACGTATGCCTCCATAAAACCAGCAGGAATCTAGCTCAATTTAAAGGATATTTTAGTATTTTAGAAAAGAATGTTTGATTATTCCCCTTCCAGAAAATTGTTTCACTTTTAAATATCTTTCAACATCAGGCACAAAATCAGCAATGTTTCTTCTTTAACATGTAGATCATTACAGTTAATCCTAACCTTTGGCTCAGCAAATATTTGTCCTCTTCTAGCTGACAGCTTGAATTCTGTAGGATGCAATTCCTTCTCAGTACAGTATTATATTACAATATAGCACTGTATTATATTATATTGTTCTCCATTCCATAATAGCTTTTCTTGGTTCCTGCCTCTCATACTGAATGGCCATTTAATTAATTTGGGCCAAATGAGAGTTTGTCAAGAAATTATTATAGGCATTACGAAAAAGTACAGTCCTATGTCTCAGTGGTATAATGTGGATCTAAATGTAAAACAGCCCTGATTTAATACAAGAAAGTTGAAAAATCAAATATGGGCTAAATGGACCCAAATATGTGTATTTATGTAACTTTCTTTGCACTAATTGTAAAGAGTTCATTTCATGATTTGTTATATATTTTAGCTTTTCTGAACCTGGTACTCTTCCAATGTTTTGATCTTTCATTGTTTGTACTGGCTAGAGATTATGGGAAATTGTAATCCAGCATGTTTAAAGGCACCAGTTTGGGCTAACTAGCCAAGGCTTGAAAGTATGGCATTCGATTTTTAAAGTAAAGTTTTACAGAAACTTTAAACAGAATTTATTTATCCCTCATGTGACTCAACCCTATTTCATTTCACAGCAGTCAATAAGGCAAGCCCACTTGTTTTAGCTTCCAGCCATAGGCACTTGTAAAAAAATAATAATTTTCCCAGATCTTTGGGAAGGGACTTGATAGGTGGAAAAAAAACTCATTAGGGGGGATAAAACTTCCAAATCCAAACATCTGGCTGATTTTATTACCAATCATAAGAATAAGGAAGGCCAGTATAAATTAAAGAACTGGAAGCTACATATTTTACATTGCTGTGTATATTATAATACATTTATATTAATACTAAATACACTACATGGCTCCCAGGGATTCTGGGTAATTTACAAAAAAAGTCACAGGCAATGCATAGGCTTCTTTGCTTATGTATCTCTGTGTGTGTGTGTGTTCATAGCCTACTTGCCTCTTATTAGTATTACCAATTGATATCAACAGAAGGAAAGATTTCCCCTTTCCAGTTGTTTCCGACTTGAGAGTGTGTGTGTTGTGTGTGTGTGTGCTTATTTCTGTTTGTTAGCCAAGGGAATCAGCATTTTCCAAAGACAATTCTGTAGTCATGTGGCCAGCATGATTATACATGAAGTGCATGGAATGCTATTATCTTCCCACCAAAGTGGAATCTATTTATCTACTCACATTTGCAGGCTTTCAAACTGCTAGGTGGGCAGGAGCTGGGGCAAGTAATGGGAGCTCACCTCTTTGCACAGCCCTCAGAGGTCTTGAACCCAGGCTGTCAGCTTTTCAGTTAACAAGCTCAGCATCTTTAACTGCTGAGGTATTGTACCCCCATGATGTCAAAATAAGTGTCAAAATATATACTGTGTTTATTGGAAGGAAGCCTTATTTGGCATAGATTTAATTTTAAAAACAATAGTTATCATGGAACAAGGAACAGAACATTTAACTTGGAGGATATTTTTCCCCTTTTTGGAAACTTCTGAATTGAAAATTTCCACTGGTGCTATTTAATTTTTTCCCCTCAGGATTGTAGAGAAGGTAGAGAGATGATTTTTTATAGGTAGCAGAATTATTTATGAACTTGCGTCACACATTCTTACAATACCATGTGTAAAAATATTGATTGAAAGTTTTTTTACCCTGCTTTTCTTGTTAAGAAGGTTGAAAT